CTTCTTCTCCTGCAGAAGGAATGTTAACCCCAAGAGCCTGCACCGTGTCTGGCAATACAGTGCTGCCGCTGATAGCTGTGGCTGCCAGGCTGCTTACCGAATCATTCCCACAGAGCTGCATGGCACTGCTCAGCACAACGATACTCATCAGCTGCCACCTCAAAGCTGGATTTTGGAACAGCTCCCAAGGGTTCTTCGCTCTCTGACCTTTAACGGCAGCCTGTTCAGCCAGCATCTCTTCCAGCTCTGCACTGAGGTCACTGTTCCCTCTGAGCTTCTGCAGTGCTGCAAGGAAAAGGGAACCTCTCATCCCCTGAACTTTACCTTCAGTTTGCCTGCTCTGCAGGGTGAAGGATTGAGCAGCAAGTGGTGGCTGCAGAAAGCTGTAGGACATAGTCTGTGATCATGGTGTTACCTTCACAGTGATGGCCAGTTGTGGTGCAGCCACTTGAAAGATTTGGGGGAAAGGGAGTGCAAATCCCTCACTATTGTTTGACAAAGAATATTTCCAACCAGTGCCATTTCAGCAGCCATGCTTCTGACTCAGATCTCAAGTGACTTCCCTGGGAAATGCAGGCAATTAAGGTGTTCTTGGTACACAGCACATATTTCCTGGAAACTAATTCCAGCCGCTCTGTGTATGGGGATTTGTATGCTACAAATCTAAGCAAATCTCTTAATATGAATTGGCTTCAAATTTAGTCATGAGTTCTTTAACCAGAATTTATTTCACTTCATAGTTACAAAACATAGACTCATGGAATCATAGAATAGTCTGGGTTGGAAGGGACCTCTAAAGGTCATCTAGTCCAACCCCCCTGCCGTGGGCAGGGACATCTTCAACTAGATCAGGTTGCTCAGAGCCCCGTCCAACCTGACCTGGAATGTTTCCAGGGTTGGGGCATCCACCCCCTCTCTGGGCAACCTGTGCCAGCGCTTCACCACCCTCAGTGTAAAAAATTTCTTCCTTGTATCTAGTCTAAATCTACCCCCCTTTATTTTAAAGCCATTCCCCCTTGTCCTGTCGCAACAGGCCCTGTTAAAAAGTTTGCCGCCATCTTTTTTATAAGCCCCCTTTAAGTACTGATGGGCTGCAATAAGGTCTCCCCGAAGCCTTCTCTTGTCTAGGCTGAACAACCCCAACTCTCTCAGCCTGTCCTCATAGGAGAGGCGTTCCATCCCCCTGATCATTTTCGTGGCCCTCTTCTGGACCCACTCCAAGAGATCCATGTCTGAACCCAAGTCCCACCTTTTGACCCTACCTTCGTAGCAGAAAAGTCTTTTGTAGGAACATGCCTTTCAATTATCTTAATAGATCAAAAATATGTAAGATTATAGAATATTCTTTAGCTTGGAAGGAGGAAGTGATCATATTTGGAACTTGATATGACACTTCCTACACGTAAAAGTTGTGGCACCATTCTCAAAAGGTCAGGGCCCAAGTCTGTGCACCAAAGCAGGATGCAAAAAAACATACATTCATCTGTGTTCAGCATTACTGTGGTTGTTCATACAAATACATACCCAACCACCACCTGGGCAGTGTTTAAGGGTGCAGCAGCTAATGCAGTTACAAACATTGATGGCACCACATATTTTGTACAGACCAAATACAGTCCTCTGGTTTAGAAAAACATTATCCATGAGACTAGTGACATAGCCATGGTATTGGGCTTGAAGCTTTTATATTCATTTAAGGAGGCTGGTAGAGTCACCAAGCAGAATATTTGTGTTGCAGAGAAGTCTACATTTCAATCTGCTTTGGACTGAACATGCTGGACTGTATGTTAAGAATATACAATATCAACCTTCTTGCTGTTCATCTGCCCAGTCAGCAGATCTCACATGCTCAGTGAGAGGCTGCCAGTCACCCTAAACTCACCAGAGATGCAGGATTCTTTATCTCCACGGTCAATCAAGAGGTATCTGGGACTTTCAGGGAACCAAGGCAGAGCCGTGAGCTGGATCAGGGCAGGCACCACATTGCTAGCTAAAAGGAATGGCCAGCTCTCCTCCCCTCCTAGTAGCTCCCTAGAGAAAAAAAACCACCGTAATTGGCACAGTACATTTTACAACCTGGCAAGAGCCCAGCACCCTCTGCTGCATATGGGCAGTGGAAAAGAAAGAAAAGAGGGGGGTGGTAAAGGGGAAAAAAAAAAAGAAAAGAAAAGAAAAGGAGAAGAGATTTAATAAGTATAAACTGGGCTTCTCACTCTACATTACCTGAGTCCAACAACCTGCCCCAGCACCAACCCCAGGGCTGTAAACGATGCAGAAGTCAAGGCCACAGCTCCTCTGAGCTTCTTTGGGGCGCTTTCCGCCAGATACATGGGCTGAATGTTCATGCTTACACCTGGGCAAGGCAGACAAATGCTGACCTCAGCTTGAGACAGAGGAGACGAGGACAAATGCAATCAGACACCTCTCAAGGTTGACAGATGGACTCTTCTGTTGCAGGCCATGTGATGACTGATCTAGCCGTGCTTATTATTTACCCAAACCTTTAATCTCCCTCTTATTCATTGTATACGCTGCTAAACATACATTTCCATACTCATAAGTAGTAGTGGATAATGAAACTGAAACCTGTCAGGGCCTCAGTCCTATGGTCTTTTCAGCATCAAATCCAAGGTTGTAAGTGATGCTTCACTCTAGTCCCCCATTTTGGGGGGAAGATCATATTTTGAGTCACTTGTGTCAATCATTGTTTCCTGGGATGAACTTCTATAAAAACTTTAATGTTGATGCTCATGCTGATGAGTGACTGATAACATTCTTAAAAGCAGATAGGGATCGATTTTCAGCTCAGTTTCTCCCAGGGCTCCCCTCCCAGTGCGCAGAGTGCACACAGATACTCACATGTGCATTACACACAAAAAAATGCTTGTGTATGCTTTAAAAAAAGTCCTTAGAAGCAAAGTGTAAAATCTGTATATACAACTTCCTCATTCATATACATGTGTGTGGTCAGACTAGAGGATAAATTGTTTTAATGTCTTGGATCATTCCTATTTAAATATCTTCTATTTCTAATTGATACTTGTTATCATGTTTGTACTGTTAAGTTTCTCATGTTGCCGTACCTGCATTCATGCCAGTAAAAAATCTGCTGAGCATAATCATTTCAAAGGATTTTGCCATTCGGCTGAATCCTGACAAGACTGCGGCTATGATCACAAAGACATTGTTCAGCAGCAGGGACATCTTCCTTCAGAAAGAAAAGACACAGTTGTGAGCACACGTGTGTCAGGTTTAGTTATCAGATAAAACATTTCACATGGCAGATACAACCTGCCATGCCTGGAAGCTCAAGGTGGGCTGCTCAGCTCCACCACAGAACATCCTGGTTACCCAAAGCCCTACATGAGGTGTCCGTGTGCAGACGGCAGATCAGCAGTTTTGGTGTCTTGTTATGAAAACAGGAATCAGCATTTACAGATAATCTGCATGGCTGATATAATTAGGGTCATCTCCAACTACCAGCATGACCACAGGGTGTCCCTGCAGTGCTGACTTTAGACACACCGAAGGCATCATGAGGTCCTCACCCAGATTCATGGCTCTTGCACTCACACACAGTTTCCTGTTTGAATGGAGAGGAGTATTCTTTCAGTAAGTCATGTGCATTTTGGTCTGAAAATGCTAATTTGTTGAAACAGGCATTTTTCATGTAATAGTATGATCCTCATGAAACAAATGAGCCATGGGGGACGGTCCCCCAGCCCCACCCAAAACCCTGCTTCATCATATAAGAGGAACAAACCAAAGTGATAGCACATAGAGGAAAATTTGGGGGTCAAGAGAGAGGGAGGCAAAATCTAACTTCCTATTAGTTTATGTTAGTAACACTAACAGGTTTCTTTCTGAAGAGAACTGGGGATAGAGCTGTATATGAAAGATAGGTGAGGAGAGACAGATATTTTTCAGAGACACAAGCACAGGGAAGAAAAGCAACTGTGAAGATTTAACAGATACCTCCTGAAATATTTCAGTCAAAAAGATGGATACAGCCTGTGAGACATGAGGACCTGGGATCCAACAACTGCTCTTTGCAGTTTTTCCGGCGTCATTCCTACCAATTCCCACAGTTAGTTTTGAAGAAAAATCCTTGGTCTGTTCTTTCATGATTCCCTATTTAAAAGGATGGGAGAAAACTGGGCACAAAAATGGTGGTGATTATGTAGGTGGTTACTGTGATACGGAGTTGAGCTGAAATCCTTGTAGCACTTCAGCTGGGTCAGAATATGATGAGAAGGTAACGTGGGGAAAAGAACTGTTCCCTGTTGGGTGTTGAGACATGAAATACTGCCGTATCAGGTAGTTTCTCCCTGCCAGCTCAGAATGTTAATGGCAGACTGATCTGTGATAGAAAACGTTTTCATGATTTTTAACTACAGTGAGTATTTTGCTGTAGGGCTTATAATTCCTCTTGGACTAATGGAAGCTGCAAAGCTTAAATTAAAATCCAGCACCCTCTTACCTTCCCAACATGATGGCCATGGGACCAGCAACAACCGCCCCAGTGAGTCCTCCCAGAGGGTACGCAGAGACAGTGAAAGACCACAGCAGCAGTATCACGTTGCTCTCAAGGGGAACACCAGTGCGCTCCAGCCAGGTTTCATTCATGAATGTCTGGATGTACTGAGAGGGAAGGACAGTGCTGCATAACCACAACATACAGATGAAGGACACTGAGAAATGTAGAGGCTTCCTTATTAATATATCTGTTTATTCTGTGTTCATGCCTCCAAACCTTTGGTTGAAAATGGCCTCCAGTTCTTAGACGTGTTTTGAACAGAGGGTTAAGAGTGTAAAACTGTAGCTGTTGAAAAGTTGTACTTGGTTTGTATCTGTATGTAGCTATCTTGGATAATTTAAAAATGTATTTCATGAGTCCAACTTTGAATTTAAGGGCAAAAGTCAATTTCAAAGGATGCAGGTAGGAAAATTTTAGAATTAGATTTGCTAAAGCAGTTGAAACAAGGCTTTTGAATAAATTCTTGTGACACTAGGTCCTGCTCAAGGGTGGCTCTTGACAACAAAGTCCTGTACCTCAGATGTGAATTATACAGGGGGAACAACACATCCTTCCCTTCTCACCCTCAGTATTAGCAGACTGCATATTTTCAGTGGCAGGCCACTGTTTATAGCCAGACTGAGGACACTAAGGAAGTGTCTGTCTCAGGAGGAGGCTCTCAGACTAGCAGTACTTACTGAAGTTGGAGCATTGATGATGGAGATGTTGTAACCATATTGGAAAGTGCCTCCAATCCCAGCGGCACATATTGTCAGAATCAGGATCTTGCTCTGAAGCTGAAGAAGATGGATAGAAAATGGATGGCTTCCTTGCACAGAATAAAATGGCTCAACAGACATTTGGTCCATTCACACTTTGAGTGGTGTGAAGTGAAGATTAGAATAGGCTACGAATGTTGTCGTAAAATGGGAGGGGCTAAAGACAGAAAAAAAGCCCAGATTTTTAAAGTAAACTATCTCCGTCTACTGCAGAATAGTATTAATAATTCCTTGCCATTCACAAAGAATTTGGGACGGCTTTGGGGCAAAGGCCTGTAAGTGTCTTTGGTTTAATATTTAATGTGTATGCTTACAAAAAGTCATTGCAAAAACAGTAAATACTGGTAGAGACTGGTGTTATTGCTTCAATTAATTCAATTCATTACAAAACCCTGTACTCACATGATGAATTATTCAAGAAGCATTGCCAAAGTTCAATGACTTCTGTCTCATTTCTTGCTAAGCTCTATTGGACGGAGCTTCTCTGTGGGGGATTTTCTCATGGCCATTTATATCCAGTGCATTTCTGATTCATTGGCATGCTATTTCTTCTACCTTTTCATGGTAATGACACATATTTTAGTTTAAATTGAGTGCCTTTCCTAAGCTGCTTCACATGTTGTACAGAGCAGACAATGTCACTCTCCTGAACTTTCTCATTAGACAGTTGTTCCTATACATTCTCATATTTAGCAGTCTATAATTGCATATTCAGCCAGAATATTTTCTACATTTTCAGTATTATGATATGGGTGAAATACGTGGCAGACAGTGGGTCCTGTGCTGTGTTCTGGTCTCCTTGAAGTCATCTCTTCATCAGTATTGCCCATTGCTTATATTGCCATCTAACACCGCTGCTATGCCTTTGGAAGCACGGGCAGGTGAGTGGGGCTGCTTCATGCAGCATCATGGGATCAGGGTGTTGGTATAAAAGTGAGGTCTCTTGCCTTTCTGAAGGGTGTAGAACAAGCTGTCCTGGCTGACACAGTATGGGAACTGAGAGCTCACTGGCAGGCTTGCGAGCAAAAAACATGCATCTTTTTTCCCCTTGCAGTAGGATGCCCTGAATGTTATAGTATAAATGGGTGTCTCACATCAGAGCAACACTGGGGCTAACTGTGGAGAGCCAGGGACACTGTGTAGAAACTTTCTAAAGAGTTTTGTTGATCTTTCCTCCTCTGTCATGTTTGTAAGCCTCAGGTCATTCTTGCCTGGACACTTTCCTGTGTGACTCTGCCTTCAAATTGACCTACAGCTTCTGTAGAGGAGTACAGCTGAGTGTCAGCAGCATCATGTCTCCACGTTCACCTCACCATCAGCAAACATCCCTTCCTCGTTGCAGCCACACCACCCTGTTGGTTGGTCTCTCTCTGTGTCATCCCCCCATCCTTGTCAGTGAACACCTATTTTGTGCCTGTGCCTTTGGTTTCCCCATCTGCATGTGAGATCCTGTGACTGGCAAGCTGTGCCCTGATGGTGTCCTTGGACAGGGAGCACCGTCCCATGTCTCAAGACCACTCTGAACTTGCTGGGGGCCCCTGGCCTTTAGCCTGACACCTCCTGCACAATATTCTGGGTGGCTCAGGGCCAGGATGGCCTTTGCCAGCCCCCTGCTTGCAAACCCCTCTCAGTGGGACAGCTCTGTGGGTGACATAAAGAGCCCATGCTCAGGCTTGGCTGTTCGCCAGCTAGTGTGGCGCATGTCAGACTAGATTATGTTTTGCTACATGAATATGACCCCATTGACCCTGAGAAGAACTTAGATAACCCAAAACTGGGGAGCTCTTTCTGCTCTACCTCCTCATTTTCTTCTTACAGAGCCATCTACCAAAGAAAAGGGAAGTTTTGCCTAGTCTCACAATAGAGCTAAAATCACAAATTCAAATAATCTTAGATTTTTCCTTTCCTCAAAGCCTTTTCTAGTAAATAACTTCCATACCAGCGTGAGACAGGACGTTCTCCCAGGACAGAAATGAAGCCAGACTGTTCCAATCCTGCAGCAAGAAGAGGCTGAGCTTTCTCCTGTCCCAGTTAGAAGCGGGTATGTTTCACTTGCACTTTCCTTGGCTACACCACTTCCCGGTCTTGTTACTGAGACCTGATCTAAGGATTGTGCACCTGATATCTCTGCTCTTCCCAGTTATTCTAGTTCTCCAAGTGAAAGAGGTTTCCTCGCCCTAGAACAGTACATTTCTTTTTTAATCACAATGCCTAGGGATGTAACACTTTTCCTGCTCATTTCCCTGCTTTCATTATGGAGTACATCCCCTATCAGGTCCTGTATCACAGAGCTCTTTTGTGGCCATGAGCTAAGGGAAAATGGTTTGCTTCTCCCTTCAGGAGCCACCAAACAGTTCTGTGCTCAGAGCTGAGCTGTATTTACAGGGTGACCTTCCCAAACCTTCCTTAACACTCAGTTTCTGCACTATTGTCCCAGCCACTGTGGTGGCATGCAGCTGCCAGGAGAGCCATTAGTCCGTCAGCTTTATCCCAAGGACTGTGATGAGTTGGACAAATTATTCTACAAGAACCTGATAGTACTTACACAGCCTTATAAAAATTCAAATTAAAAAAAAAGATCTGTCAACAATAATAGTAAAATAGATGTTTTTTACCAGTCTCTGCAGCTTGTTCATCCTCTTTGGTAGGTTTTCCTCTGTCTGCCAAAGTCTCTGGTACTCTCAGCAGTGCTCCAAAGGATTATTTAAATCTCCAGCATAGGAATGTGTATTTAGTCACCCATTACATTAGGATAAGACACTTGACTTGGCAGGTGTTTTGCCAGCTGATTTACATTCTCAAAACGGGACTGCACGTTCATTAGCAAGACAGTTCAATTATTTTTTTTGAAAGTAGATGACAGTTTGGGGAAATGATTCTGCAAGATCCAGAGCTGCCTAAATCCTCTTGACGACCAGTATGGTTTATGGCATAAATTCCCTCTCAAAGCGTCTGGCACAGTTGCCCGTTAGCACTTGTCTGATTAAGTGTGATCAAAGCAGAAGTAAACTACAGCTTTTTTTCTGACTGTATTTGTCCTGGAACCCAGTCTAGGATCTGAAAGACAAACCAGACTCTTTTTTTTTTCAGTGACAGGAATGAACGAACCCCAAACATTTCAAATCCCTCATTATGCCAAGCCCTTTCACTGTACTCCTGTCTATGTCCAGGTGACATACACGCAATCCAGCTGTTGCTGACAAGGGACTGTATGCTGATGCACAGAAGGCTGCAGTCCTGCTCCCTCTCCATAGCCCGGCACAGAGCAAATAGCAACGCTTACAGCACTCGGTTTTGTCACCAAACAATCATCTCTGGCTTTCATTTCACAGGAGGCAGAGGGCTTTGCTTTTACTTATGCCGTGTGACTTTTTTTGCTTCTAAAGTGCATAATACATAATAGGTATTACATTATATATTATATTAAAGTGCACTTTACATAATATGTAATATATCTACGTAATATGTAGTGTTGCAGGTAAACCTAGTGCTGAGGTGGGCATGGGAGAGTAGGCTGCTGGGGGAAGAATGCATATCTGATCAAAATGTTCCCAGTTCATTTTGAGTTGTCACAACCTCTTGCACAGCATTATCCTGCTGTTCTTTAAGCCTTTTTCTCCCTACGGCCTCAGAGGGCAGAGAGAAGAGCCCTTTTGAGGGCAACAGGGGCTGATTATACCAAGGACTATAACTGGTTTTGTGCTTGGGAGATACTGATCAAGGAATCAACTGAGCTTCACCATAGTTGTTCACAGAAGCATGGTGGAGGAGCCTTCGTACGATGGATTTATGTCACACCCTGGGATTACAAAATTGAAACTCAGTTCTTTTTTAATATCTTGGTTAAAAATTAAATAACTCTATGCAGTAGAAGCCCCTCCTCTACCCCCAAGAGGCTCCAGCTAAATTCTAATGAGTCAAAAAGGATTCATCCCACTGTAATAGTGGCTTCTTCAGTGACCTTTCATCTTTGTCTTTTGGCTTATCTTTCACTAGCCTGTGAGTTTTATACTCTTCCCTTGTTAACTACCCATCATTTAATTGGGACAGAGTAACTGACAGGCCTTGTGTAATGGGTTTGGCTCATGTGGCAGTTGCTTATTGTTCCAGAAATGGTTCCCTTTTCCATGTAAGCTACAGAAGGCAGCAAAGGCAGCAGTAACAGCAATGACAGGCTTGCTTCTTTCCATAAAACAGAAAGGCACTCCCCAGCAGTGAGAAATGGTGTATCCTCATGAATCCTAGAGATGGGGCCCAGCGGAGATGGAGGCATATTGCACTGTCAGCAATAATAGCAAAGCTGCTGTTTCACATAATATCTGGCCTTCAGGAGTAATCATGGTATTTTAACATCCTTTCATCCTGCAGAGTGCAATTTGTGAGGGGCCTGACAGATTTCAAAGTATTCAAAATAAGCAAAATTTTTTAAAAAAATGCCTCTTTGTTGCTACTCAGGTTTTACTACACCTGTATGGAAATATAAACCTGTTCCACATCGCAGAAGAATCCTCTTATGAATGTGTAAGTAGGGATGCGGTGCTGCATCAGCTGTAGCCACTAAGTGGCAGGAGAAGTACAAAATTTCCTGCATTAGGCTCTGAATCCAACATGCCAGCAGTTTGCTGCCTGTGGCGTGTGGCAGGGGTCAGAGGACTACTTCTAACAGCTTCCCAAACGATAACTTTTTCACTGGGGAAATAGACATAACTGTACGTAACTGTACAAGTTAACAGCCACTGATGTATAGTTTAGGCAGCACGTATCAAGAACAGTAATACATTCAAAAAGGAAAGCTGTAGTTTCTTCCTGCTCTCTACTCTGAATGAGACCAGGTTTGGATAGATCTCTTCCAGGACAAAAAATACATATTCTGTATTAGGCAAGAGCTTTCTCCTTTTTCCTAGCATCTTATAAGCAGGGACCACCTGGTGCAGGTCTTTGTCACCTCAGGTGATGGCGTACAGGAGTTTCAGCCTGCGGCTACCAGGTGGAGTGTCCCTGATTGTTCTAGTCACTGAGATGTATCATGGGAGCCTTTGAGGTAGATGGGGATTATTCCATTTCTAGCTCCTTAGACAGGCCAACATGTCAAAACATGTCCCTAGTTGGATAAAAGGCAAAGGAATGCAGCTCACCCAGGCAGTCTGGTCTCCATCCAGTCCCTGGGCCTGAGTACCATGAATCTGATGGTATTCTGTTGCAGCCAAACAGAAATGTATCTTTCTGCAACGGCCTGGTCAAGGACTGCCTGCTTAGACCATTGCATTGTCTTATTTTTCCAAGGCAAATATGTGCACATTCTTCTATTTAACAAAAGATGAAGGTGGTATTCGTCACAGTCCAAAGGAAATCCTAGAGGCACAAGGGCAGAATGAGAGAAAACTCATTCCTGGTGCTTGTATGTGGTGGTTAAACCAGAGAGCTTGCAAGCTGTGCAGTGAAGGGAAGCAACTGCCTATGGCAGTCTCTGGTCAGAGAAGGGAAATAGCAGGTGAGCTTATGGCAGCTCCAGGAGATGGGTGAGGTCCTGCGGGTAGGCAGTGAAATGCTGTGGACTGTGGCTAGATCTGGGTGTGCAGCTGGCTAGCTAGAAATGGGAGTTCCTGGAGGTTGTCCTGTCTTTTCTAGTAACAGCTGCCTTGTTGAGGAGTGGATGGATAGATTTTTTTCTCCTACATAGCATCTATATGGTGCCGACAGGTGTTCACATTGGTTGTTTCTAACTGGCTTCCTGCTGCACCTTAAAAAAACCAGCATTCCCAATGTTCAGCCCTTAGGATAAGTTCTCACAATGTCAGAGTCGCAGTTGGTGTAGATGAGAAATCTCCAGTCTCGGGGTCTATCACCAGGGTATAACCACCGCACTGCAGTTACTCAAACTCCTGGCTTTGGGAGCCTTCACATAAACCCAGCAGGTCTCCAGCACCACCACGGGGACCTACCACCCTCTTCCCTCACATACTTTTTCACTGAACTCAAACCTGTCATACTCAAGGTGAAATATGATGCCATGAGCATGGGAGAGTAGTTATTTGGAGAATGTGACGGCAGTCTCTGCCTGTAATTATCTGACTGCGGGAATAAGTAGTAATCCTACCATTAGGAAACACCATCAACACATGCTCTTTGATCTGCCATGCTCTGAGAGGTGGTTCCCATGTTTTAGAGTGTTTTCACCCCAGGATCCTCTGGACCAACTGCAATTACACTGCAAGAGGAGAAAAGGGGCCCCATTTCCATCTGTGAGGCTTGGATCTACAAGATGAATTCTGCCTGCAAACACTGCACTGTAAATCGCAGGAGAGATTTGGAGCTGTTCCCTGGCTGGTTGTTGGCTATCTCCCAAACTCTAGCCTGGCTATTTCTGCAAACCCTTCTCTCTTTCCTGTAAGGACCATCACAGTGAAATACGAAGTACCTCTGTCTGCTTGTCCTGACTCTTGCAGGACTCGCTCAGAATACAGAAGACAAATAACATCATCTACAAACAAGCAGCTTTCTCAAGAAACAGCCAGCAGGTCTGCTGTTTTTATGGTGAAAGCAGTGTTTATGGAACTTACTTAGCTGTTAAAACGGATTTTCTTTGTAGGAAATGAGTGCCCTGCTGTGACACCATTATTCTGTTCACTAATGTTCCTTAGAAAAAAACCACAATTTATGCAAGTTCAAGACACTGTGTAAGTTCTTCAGGAAATGGGCTTCATTGCAGAGGTTTCTCAGGGCAGGGACCCAATGCTGACAGAGCTTCTGCTACCACACAGAGTCACTGGGATGCTTTCCAGACCAGCGGAGATACATGGGAGCTGAGTCCTCTGAGGACACGAGGGCTGATACAGCCAAGGGATCTAGCTGCTTTTCTTTGCCAGCTAGGATTTTTGGATGTCAGGAGAATGGCTCTATGTTCTGTGCATTGGATCAGCAGTCTGCATTTTCATCCTCCTGATAAGCAATAGAGCTTCTCTGGGAAAACTGAGAAAGCCCAAAATACTAAAAATAATTGAAATACCTTTTTCTCAGTCCATTGTGAGCTGTGGGTCGTGCTGTGGCTGAACTATTCCCTTTCCTTCCTTCTTTGTGTCAGATGCTGATGTAGGCAGTTAGTTGAAACTGGGTGACCCAAAGGCCAGAGAGAACAAACTGTTTGGCAGAACAAAACCTCTGTTCCTGTGTGTCGGAGTGCCAGACTCATCCTGATTTCTTATTTAACACTCAGATGGAGCTTTTTATTAGAGCTGTCCCCTGGCTTACGGAGAGGCACCTGGACTAGGACACATAGTGAAAGCCTCTGGTGAAAACCAAGGTGCAAATACAGTTTCTGACTCCTTGCAGGGGTCAACAGCTGACAGCATGCTTAGTTGTACGTGCTGCTATTGTGCAGCTGAACATAGACCTCTTTTTATAAGAAACAAGCATTGTTTTTCAGTTCTCTTGTTGATTTGGCCACACTGCTTATGAAATGGATGTTACAAAATAAAGGCCCTTGAAGGATATTCCCCACTGACAGCTGTGGGAGGCGACCTATGGTGTAGAGGACAGATCACAAGACAGAAGAATTTAACAAGAACGATTAAGCACTGGAAAAAAATAACTGTGCAAAGAGACAGATGTTTTCTTGCTTGATGTCTTCAACTCATGA